CTAAGGAGATTGCTGACTAAATGCCAGGTGGGGTTCTGTATTCGATCCTGGACCAGAAACAAAGCATAGGTGGAAAAACTGGTGAAATCAAAAGGAAATCTAAAGTTTAATTGAAAGTATTGTACTAATGGCAATTTGTTAGCTTTAATCATTATATTACAGTGATGCAAGATATAAACATAAGAGAAGCTGGGTGAAGGATCTATGCATACTCTCTGTACTATTTTTCAACTTTTATGTAAGCCTAAAAGCATTTAAAAGAAAAATGTAAAAAGAGGAGAAAAAAAGTCAGGTAAACTAAGCAGTGTTTATGACGTAGTTGATTCACATTCTGCCACAAGCTCATGATCTCACCATAGATTGGTAACTGGTTAACTTGTCTCTAGCAGCTGGGGCCCACATTTTGAGTAGTACTCTACTAAATTGTTTGCAACCTGCCAGAAAGAGAGGAATCAAAACACCCTGTTGTTCATGCATAATGAGTATCATTAGGTCCTATGTTCAAGCTTTGTACTTAGTAGGTATGTGTCACTCACAAAATAGAAAGTCAGGAGATGATGGTTCTGATTCTGCTCTGATTTTAAAAACAAAGAACAAATACAAAATAGCCCCGTGTGCAACCCTGGGTAGATCACTTGTTGACACTAACCTCGGTTTTCTCATAATTAAATTGGGAAAATAACATGTGCCCCACCACCTTTACAAGGGTTGGTGGTGAGGGCGTGGTGGTGAAATGAGATAAACTGTATAGAAGGTTTTGCAAATCATAAAAGCACCATTTAACTGTAATGAATGTCTTATCACTCACGTATTTAAATGTCCCCCTTTTCATTATTTTCAGAAATGGGTGGCTTAAGAATTGGTTACCAAATGCACTTATTCAACTTTAGAAATTATTTCGTATTTACTGAGGACCTACTATGTTTTATGCATTGGCTGAGATCCTATAGTAAATATGACAATGAATTCCACATGGACTGTGGTCTCAATGAGTTTCCAGCCTCAGGAAGGAGGATGACATACATGTAATAAATTACAACACAAACAAGAGGTGGAAATTGCCAGCTGCCAAGCAGGAACCCCACACAGATATGGGAAAGTAAAAGGACTTATGCAGCGGCTTTTCCCCTTTGTGACCACATAGTTCCTTTGTGTATATCTGTACAAATTGTTTCCAAAAACTAATTCCACATGGTAAATAACAAATAATTACCAGATTGATAAAGGGAAAAGAGATAAGGCTTTTGGAGTCAGAAACATGTGTTCCAATAATGGCCAGCACTTACTAACTGTGGGTCTTTGGGCAAGGTCTTGAACATCAGTTTCTTCTTATGCAAAATGGGGATAATAATGCTACCTACCTCACAGAACCATTCTGATGATTAAAGGAGTTATTGCAAATCAAGCACTCAGAACAGTACTTAGCACAAAATGAGCACTACACAAGAGTTAGTTGTTTCTTCTTGTCTTGAGGAAATGTATTTATGGCTTTGTGACTGACCATGAGGAAAAATACCCTACAAAATCAAAAGAGAAAACTCTAGTTGTAAAGTCCTCTTTGCTCCAGAAAAGCATAGGTCCCCTTGAGCAATTAGGAGAGAGAGAGGACAAGTCAGTAGTGCACACACTTGCTGGTTCCTGAAGCTACCAATGGCCAGGGTGGGTGCTGTGTAACTTCACTCACTACTCTCACCTGCTCCTCTCTTAGCCTTTGGGACATTTTAGGTCATATTATCAGCTCTCAAGTCCTCAGAGTCTTCTTGGGAAGTTGGAGCAATCCACAGACACACACGTAATTTCTCACTTCTCGGGGACTGTGCTTCTAGGCTCTCACTCCATCCCCCCACTCTGCTTGAGGACACCCTTCCTCCTTGTCCGGCACACAGGAAAGCCACAGTGAAAGAGTCCCTGCCTTGCCCTCAGCATACCCTCAGATCTTGGCTTGCTCTGATATCTGACATGCATGGATGCATCATGCCTTTCCCCACAATGTCCATTCACCCACAATCTGGACATGTTCAAGGCCCAGCCTGAGACTGGTGGAGAGGCCCACAGTCCCTCACTTCCTGCTATAGTGTCTCCAGCCCACAGCGATGGGAAACCATTCAGACAAATAACAAGGAAGCGCCAAACCCACAATATGAACCATATTTCTCCAGTCCTCCTCCTCCATCTCCTCCACTATCCATTCTCATTTGTCCTTGTAACACAGGGCAATCACATTCCCTACTTACATCAAGGTTCTCTGATTTAATGCTGAGACACACATGTGCACACACACACACACGCATGCATGCATGGTATCCTTCCCCCATACGTGATTTCTCCACATGGCAACCACAGTCATCCTATTATAACACAGTCAGACCATGTTGCTGTCTAGCTCAACACTTCTAAAGGCTCTGTCTTGTTCCAGGTAAGAGGTAATGTCCTTACCATGGCCTACAAAGTCCTGCTCCATCTTTCCTCTAGTGAGCCCTCTGTCCCATCCTCAACTAGAGCTCCTCCTAGTTCATGCCACTCCACATGTGCTGGCCTCTTTGCCCTTCCCTGAGCACGCCAGGCTGCTCTCACCTCTAAATATTTGCTCTCCCAATTCCCTCTGCCTGGAATGCTTTTCTCCCAAATGTCCACCTGGCTAGTTCCCTCAAATATCCCCTTAGGAACCTTCCCTAATCATTTTATTAATAATTTAAACCTCCACCCACATCCACACCCCTATTTTCTTGTTTTACTTTTCTCCATAGCGCTTGTCACCATCTAATACCATGTATTTTATTTATTTATTTATTTATTTATTTATTTATTTTATTTAATTTACTGTCTCTCCCTACTAAAACCTAAGCTCCCCGTGGGCAGGAAGAGCTGTTCTATTTACTGCTAACTCTCTGGTGTCTAGAACAGGTACTCAATAAATACTTGTTGAATAAAGGAAAGAAAGAGTTTAAAAATATGTATACATATATACAAACACATATGCATCTATTCCTATATATGCATAGTATAGCTACTACTTTATTGAGCACCAACTACCTCCCAGGCACTGGATGAGGTCCGCATGAAGTACATGCACTTCCCATGGGTATCTAATTAATCCTTTCAATGAGCCTACAAGAAAAAATATACTGATGCACATTATAAAGATGAGGAAACTGAACTTGCCTAAGTGGGTCAGCAAGGAAAAGACAAAGCTGGATACGCCCTTCAGAACTCCAAATCCCATGCTCTCCCCTAATCAACACTGTGTCTTGTTCTCATGCCGTTCACAACTCTAGCCTGTTAATGATAACTGGCCAGTACATCAGCTGTCTTTCCTACCAGATTGAGCCTCCTGGAGGTCATGGGACCGTCTTCCCTGTCTCTGTTTTTCTAGGACCTACATGTATAGTATAGTTCCTGGCACATAGTCAGTCTCAATTACTCACTGTTAGAAATGCTAATTTTCCTCTTTCCTTGGCAACTAGGGCACATCTGACTCAAGTCAGATGGGAGAGGCATCCTGCTGCATTTATCCTCAAGGAAGAAAATCACAGACAGGCAAAGTGCAGCACTGCTCATCCCAGGCACCCACAGTCTCCTCACCCAGGGGACCTTGTTGACACAATGACAAAGGTGGAAGATGGAATGAGTGCACCTGGAGGAGAGCTGAAAACTCACCTGTAGAGGCTCAAAATCTCGACTGTGCTTCCCTCCTTTCCAATCTCCTTTACCTCCAAACTCAATAACTGAGCCCCTACATCTTTACACATGGCATGTCAACTAGATTCTTAGGAAACAGAAACTCAGACTTAATTCTTATATTGTTTTATCATTCCCATGAGCTAAGGCAGAGTGGGGAGAACACAAGGACCACTTTGCCAGCTTAGGCTGAGAAAGGGGAGTAGGGCAGAGTGGTTCATATCATGGACTTTGGAGTGGGGCAAACTTGAGTTCAAGCTCTAGGCAAGTAAGTTAACTCCTGAGCTATTTCCTCTGTAAGACACAGATTGAGCAGTACCTATTTTATGGAGCTGTTGTATCAATCAAAAGAGTTTAGGATTCAAACTCAGGTCTGTCTGACCCCAAAGCCCCGGATGCACATCACCAGACTACACTACCCACCTGGGAGATTCCTTTAGCTGGGCAGAGTCTCTGATTCCCACAGAGAGTCTGAAATGCTAAATGTCCTCAGGAAAGATGGATACTAAAGTACAAGAATCATTTTTCCAGAAAGTTGGACTTAGTGAAAGGGAGAAGGGGCTCTGGAAGGAGATCCTGGGCAAAGTCAGGGAGAGAGAATTTCAGAGAGGAGGGTGATTAGCTAAAAAGAGGAGGCCAGGACACAGAGAAAAACACAGTGGTCCACCCAGAAGTTTTGGAGTGAACACTTAGCTAGGATCACCTCCCTACACATGGGCCACAGTGTCAGCATAACAACAATATCTGCATAATTTGGCTATTGTTGAAAGTGCTGCTATAAACATTGGGGTACAAGTGCCCCTATGCATCAGCACTCCTGTATCCCTTGGGTAAATTCCTAGCAGTGCTATTGCTGGGTCATAGGGTAGATATATTTTTAATTTTTTGAGGAACCTCCACACTGTTTTCCAGAGTGGCTGCACCAGTTTGTATTCCCACCAACAGTGCAAGAGGGTTCTCATTTCCCCACATCCTCTCCAGCATCTATCGTCTCCTGATTTGTTCATTTTAGCCATCAATTGATGAATGGATAAAGAAATTGTGGTTTATATACACAATGGAATACTACAAGGCAATGAGAAAGAATGAAATATGGCCTTTTGTAGCAACGTGGATGGAACTGGAGAGTGTTATACTAAATGAAGTAAGTCATACAGAGAAAGACAGATACCATATGTTTTCACTCTTAATGTGGATCCTGAGAAACTTAACAGAGACTATGGGGGAGGGGAAGGAAAAAAATAGTTAGGGAGGGAGCCAAACCATAAGAGACTCTTAAAAACTGAGAACAATCTGAGGGTTGATGGGGGGTGGGAGGGAGGGGACAGTGGATGATGGGTATGGAGGAGGGCACCTGTTGGGATGAGCACTGGGTGTTATATGGAAACCAATTTGACAATAAATTTCATATTAAAAAAAAAGAAGGCCACTGGATTGGAATTAGTTTCTCCTTTGATGAGCTTTTTTCATATTCTGTCTGAGATTTTATGTACATGTAGTTGTCTTTCTGTCTCCTATAAAGAACCCAAATACACTAAATCTTAAGCGCAGTGGTTCCCAGGCAAATAATAAAGCATTATGAAATGAAAAAAAAAAACAATATCTGCAATTGGGCCCAGGACAGGTATATGTTTAAGCCTTAGGCAAGTTTAGCACCTTCCACCTGGTCAGGAATCCAGGTGCTGCTGTTCAGATTTACTGCTTATAGGATGCCTTCCTTAGAAAAAAATTTGTACCACCATAGGATGTTTTTCAAGAACTCTCCTAATACCAATAGAATACTTGAAGCTCTTGCTGAAAAAACAACAGGGAGGGAGCCTGAGAACTAAAGGGCGATGGGAGTCAAGCTCCATGTGTTTAATAGCTGCTAACGACCCAAGCACAGTGAAGGACAAGTTCCCAGCCTGCTAGCTTCCATTTTGAGTCTCCTTGGAGGAAACAAAGACACTGCATAATTATTAACAATAGCAAGCCAGGTTTTAACCATACTGCAGGCTATGGTGACAAATAGTAGTTTTAAAATGTGAGATATTGAGAGGAAATCCAGATATGTATATGGGTCTTGAAAAGTTTGTATGGAAATTCTGTCACTGACAGGTGGTCTTTAAATACAGGTGCCTCTAGAATGCTGATATCTTCCAGAGAGAATGACAAGGTGTTCAGAATGAATGCAGAGTTCAAAGACCTTGCCTCTGTCTTAGATCTATGTGGGGACCTAAGCCAAGTCATTTAACCTCTGAGTCTGAGTTTCCTCTAACGTACAATGGCAGCCATCAGTAATAGTCCCACCCACCATGAGAGCTAGCTTTCGGTGTCAAATGAGATCACACCAGTGAAAAGATGCTGTGAACTATGAAGAGAAACAAAAGTAACAGGTAATTTAATTAATTTTTACAGATCTTACCACCCCTCTAGGAAGAAAACCGTGTGTGTGTGTGTGTGTGTGTGTGTGTGTGTGTGTGTGTGTGTGTGTGAGAGAGAGAGAGAGTGAGAGAGAGAGAGAGAGAGAGAGAGAGAGAGCTGACAGAGAGAGAGAGAGAGAACAAGACAGAGACAGAGAGAGAAAGTGAGAGCACTACATACCTGGGAGTTTAGCTTCTCTAAGAAGCAGCAGAGATTTAGTAAGTAACTAGACATCTCTACTTCCTTCTCCCAGTATTGGGGAAGTAAGTGGCATTCTTCTCCCAAAGGCCAATCTTTCAAAGTTGTTTAACTGATGGGGAAGTAAGATGCATACAGTCTTGTGAAAGTTCCTCAAGATGATTCATACTCAGATGATTTGGTGATTGCTCTTGTATGGCTGCCCTGCTCCCTAGGGCTTCACCCATGTCCAGCTTGACTGGGATTTCATTCTCATGAAGACCCACAATGCAATGACCACAATGTTCAGAAAGTGAAATGGTAGTTGCCTACTACCCTAGAACAGCCTCTCTTTCCAGATGTTAAGCCTTAACACAAGTCTCTGTTGTACTGGGAAAGAAGAAACAGTTACAGAAACCTAATTACCCACAATCTCAAACAAAATTCTCTAGAGCACTTTTCCTGTACCCTAACCTCCCCGCCCCTCTTACTAAGGTCTCCTTGCTCAGGTCCCAGAGGTGATGTTTGGCAATTTCATTTACACAAAACAAGGTTCCTGTGGGACTTAGTTCCAGATAGGTGAACTAAGGTAGTGTAGTCTGCCTAATTACTCCTTAGCTACCTAGTTTCTGCCTTTTTAAGAAGATATTAGAATATAATCTAGCAGGCAAGGAAGGAATGTGGTCTTTATAATTTTCTTTGTGCAACATGACATAAGTGCTGAATAAATGCTTTTTAATGATGCAGCAGCTGAAAGGGTTCCACACATTATCTTATTCATATTGAAGATATCCTGGTGAAGTGAGCAGTGTCTCACAGATGGAGAAACAAAAAGCAGAAAGGTGAGGTGACTTGTACGAGAACAGAAAGCAAATCAGAAATGGAAGCTTGACAATCTTCACATTCTTCAGTTTGGAGTGCTATTGGTTATTCATTCATTCTAAAAAGCCACAACCTTAAACATAAAAGTTCTCCACTCCTACAAAATTTGGGTGTGACAAAAAGCACTTGATAAATTGTGCTAGAAGAAAAATAGTCCTAATAGTTGGCTCAGGTACATGTTGTCCCTTTCAACCAAACCTCAGAAAATCACTCTGTAAGCAAAAATACATTTTCATCCCCGTGTGCCAACAATGGCAATGGCATAGTGGTGTTTACATGTGAACCTCCCATCTCAGGACCCCAAGGTGCTTTACAATTTAATTATCTCTGACACTTTTCTATTTGCTTATACAAAGGAAGCCAAGTTGCCTTTTCTTCATCAGGAAATTGATGGCAAGTTATGCTATTGCCCAAGATCCCAAAGTGAGCCAACAAAAGATCTCGACCTCCAAACTCACCTTTTAATACAAGACTCTATCCTTCCCTTCATATTAAAATTCAATGTAACTGGCCATTCTTGCTACTGCTATGAGGTATTAGGACAGGTGGCTGGGAAGTTGAGAGCTTGTGGTGAAAGGAAAATGGGGAAAGGGAAGGTAGTACATTCTGTTTTAGACTTAAGCCTAAGAGAATGCTCGGATAACCAAGTTTAGATGCTTAGCCAGGTGGATTAGAGGTGCAGGAAAGAGCTCCAGAATAAAGATAAAGATATGTGACTCATGCACATACAGGTAATAGCGAGTAGGAGACTGGAAATCCTACTTTTTCATACAGGTCTCTTGAGACCAACGATGTTTATTGTAATAAAAACTCCATTTCCAATTCTGAACATCATTGTGAAGTAGAATTACAAAGTGGAACTAACCAGGAGCATGGGGTTAGTTGCAAGAATCAACCAGAAGGCAGCAGGTTCAGTTTATAAAATCCAACAAGCAAGGCCAGCCGGCAATTAATTCTCACCTCTCCACCCGTCACGGTCCCTACCATTTGTAATCAACATCTCAGATATTACATTCAAATTGCTTTTCTCCTGATATCTCCAAACAGAAGTATTCTGTCCCTTCTTTAAACTCCCAGAGGATTTTATGTATACATCTTTTATAGGATGCATCATAATCTGAATGGAGTTGTAGATACCTGAATGGAGTTGTAGTTGTTATTGTTGCCATTATCCTTCCCACATAACTGAACATGTGGATGGTAGGGTCATCCACTACGGGAAGGATGGTGAATGTTCAATCAGAAGGAATGCACTACTGGCACACCTAACTGGCAGCTCCCAGGGTCCTCATTTGAAATGGCAAGGTTAGGGATCTTTTCTTAGAGTCAGAAGGCACTGCTGGGCAGTCTTTCCAATGTAGCAATTCAACTCAGCAACAGTTATCCTTTATCGTAATGGATGTGTATGCTGTACTTTCTACACCTCAAAGAGGCTAGGAGTCCCCAAAGAAATAAACCTCAGCAATTGGTCAGGCTTGGCTGCTTCATTTCCCTTTTTCCAGAAATCACAAGCTGAAAACAGAGGCTCAAACTCTTGTGCTGTAAGGGACTCACATACAACTTCTTCCCGGAGGGGTAACTCTCCAATAAGACATCCTAATATGGACAACACCATCTAATACACTATGAGTCTTACAGAGCCAGGCAGGACATTCCTGGCCTTGACCAATTTAAGAATTTAAAAATCAAGTGCCTGTTAGTCGTTCATCAATGTTTCCATGCATATCCATTCCATTACATCAGGGCCATGATATTTCAGATCCCAGTGTCCAGGGTCCATTAAAAAGCAAATGTCTCCTTTAAACAGAGAGACAGTGCATTTCTCCTTCATCCTTATTCTCACTGGTACCTCCCTCTGCTCAACTCCTTTGCAGGTTCATTTCCAATAGGTTTATGTAACACAACAGCTGAGTAATATATCAAAGGGGCTCTGGGTGCAGCGGCTGCTGAGATGGCATCTCATTTACAGCTTTCCAGTGAATGAGAAAGCACTCCTCACTTGAGAGCTGCCTGCCGCTCAGGACAAGCTAATTGTACCCTAAGTTCAGATTGTTTGCTTTTTTAAGGGCATGGGACTAGAAGCAAGCTGGCCTAACACTTAGTGAAAGTGTGGCCCTTTACTGCATGAGATGTGCATTACAGTACGCCACAAATGATCCACCCCCAAATATATTTGTGCTGACAATCAAGTCTGTGTGTGAAGACTTGGGCCCTGGAATATTAATATTTACATTGTTTTTTTCATCCTAGAAGATATTTTCTCATCCCTGTCATTTAATCCTCAAAACAACTCCATCAAAACATCATTGCTATTTTCATTATTACCATCATTCATTCCCATTTGCAAACTGAGTAAGTCAAGGGTCTGTGTGCTAGACGCTAAGTGTAGTGTCCAAGATCCAAAGCCAGTCTATGGCAGACCTGGGTCTCTGACTCCATTTTTCTGACTCAAATTCAACATTTTTCTTGATACAAACTTTCTGAAGACAAACCATACCCTAGGAATGGTAGGGTATATGGAAGAACCATTATTTCACTGATTTATTCACTATTCCAATTTATAATCAGACATGGTAAGACCCCCATAACTTTTTAAATAACCCTTATTTTTTATTTCAAAATGTTTATCATAGACCATTGGTAAGAATCATAATTATTCAGAAAATGAATCATTTGTAATTTCACTTCCTGAAATGGCTTGTCATTAACACTCTAATGTACACCCTATTAGACTTCCCAGGTTATAGTACATCCTATCTATAATTACATGAGATGTAAATAGAGTTTATGTGTTATGAAAGTGAGATATTAGGGATGACATTCTATATATTTCCATTTAGATATCTATCAACCTCTTCCCAAGCCATTAAATATCCTCCATATCACCATCTGAAGAGCTACATGGTGTTCCATCACATGGATGCACCCTAACATAGTCAACCAGTCCTCTAGAAATTGAGGAATAACAGAGAGGAATTCAATTATTTCAGGTTTGACTCTATTATGAGCAAGACTACAATGAAATACTTGTAAATAGTCTTTGTGTATTTCTGATTACTTCCACAGGGCAAAAGCCTACAGAATTCTTGAACCAAAAGGAATGAAGATTTTAAGGCTTTGAACAAACCACCTCCAAAGTGACTGTAACCATTTCCACTTCCCAGCAGCTCTGCCTCCACAGCATGTCCCATTCACCCCAATGTACCAGCCTCCATCCTTCCCAACTGGTCTCTCATACTGCCCACCCACCCCCAATCCATTTGCCTAGGCAGACAACCTTTCAAAAATAAAAAACCTGTCATGCTTCCTACTACGGATGCTCTTCTGTTTCTGACACACACCAAGTTTGTCCTGCAACCTTTACACTTGCTGTTCTCTCTCCCAAAAGGCTCTTTCTCTCTTTCTTAGCAAGCCTAGCTCCTATTTGTCATCCTAGCCCCAGAGGGGTCTTCCCTGGCCACCAACTTAAAATAACTCCCTCCCTATAATCATGATATCCCATCACTTTGCTTCTCTTAGATTCCTTGTCCACAGCACCAACCACATTATTCATATTAATTAAGATCTCTTATTGATTTGCCTACTACTATATTTTGTCTCTTCCCCCTTCCCTCCCCCCACATGTACAGAAAATGTAAACTCTTATGCCCCTCAGTGTGCCTGAGAATCATACATTCTCAGTAAATATTTGTTGAGTAAATGAATGCACAGAAGAGTCATTTTAGTGCTGCCCTAACCAAGCATAATATGGTGGCTAAATCTAATGTAAGACATATCACCTACTGCCTTCCAGAAAAGAGGGGGGAAAAGACAAGAGATACCATAAACAACAGCAAGTCAAGACTGGTGGGTAATGGCAGACCCCAAAGCTCAGGCTGTGATGCCTCACCTCACATCAGACAGACCTAGCAGAATCTAAGCAGGCATCAGAACAAGGCTCTTCTGCATTGGAAAATAAAAATCTACATCCTTTAAAACTAATCCCAAAAAACCGCGGGGGGTGGGGGGAATTTACCATAAGAAGTTACAACATATAAGAAAACACCCAGAAGTGTCTTCTCTCATATTCTAGAGATATTTAAATTGTCCAGGTTAGTAAGATATAGATAGGGCAATACAACTGTTTTTCACAATTTGAAGACCTGACATATTATTAAAAACAAAAATATAAAAAGTGTTCACATTAGATCTCTAGATTACAATAGCAGCTATGGACATGCATGTGAGACTCTCACCCACATCAGCACTGCTGAACTCCTGGGTAGGCAGAGGCAATGCTTTACCAACTGCCTACTGCTGAGCCCCGACCAGGGAGCCAGCACTGCACCTGGCATTTGACATGTGTGACCACATATGAGCCTCCGGGCGACTCTCTGAAGCATTGCTATCCCCACTCCTACAGGTCAGGAAACCCAGCTTCATGGAGATCACAAATGGATTACATCAGGATTCCAACACATGCCTATCTGGTATGTGCTTTTTACACAATGTCCCCAGTTGCCCATGGCACAGTTTGAGAACCAGGGTGCCCAGATTCCCAGTCCTTCACCCTTTCCACAAGTTTGTGCTAATGCTGGATGCAAGAAGCAAAAAGCCATTTCCTTCCACCTCTGAAGAGCAAGAAACCCTTTCTACAGTTGAGAACAGCTTTCCCTGTATGATTCCCCTGTCAGGTCAATGTCTGGAGTTTATCCAGCGTCAGATTCCTCCTCAAGGACAGCCATTCTCCTGGGCTCCCTTTGGCCCTGGGTCAAGAGGCCACACAGCATGTGCTTCTTCTCTCTTCCAGGGCCCTGCCTGAGACAGCGCCTCAGATACAGTAAAGCCCATGGTGTGTGTGAAAGAAAATGTTTACAGTGTTTCAGGTACCCCAAAGAAAAACCTTCACAGTCATTTTAAAACATTAGTTTCCCTCTCTAATCCGAATCATCGTGAAGGGATAAAGCCAAGCCAACTTCAGGGAAAAAGGCCAGAGCTCTCCCTCTAGAAGTCTGATGGAAACACTGGACATGAGATGTATTTGACAACTTCTATTTACAACTCTAGAGAGTGACAGAATCCTTGAAAATACTTGATTCTGTATTTTTTTTCAATAAATGAACAACAACAAAATGCTTAGTTCCTAGGTGGCCAGATAAAATGTAAGACAGGAGTTTCCTGAATTGAGTACCAAGCATTGTTTGTTGGTCTCTCTGCCTCAGCTAGGTCCTCTGAGCGGACATGAAATAAGGGCAGATGAGGGAGAGCAGCTTCTTCTGACATCACACCAAAAAAGAAAAGTAGAGTGAGGCCAGAGGCACATGGAAACAGGGACAGGGACAATGTGGAAAGTAAAGTAGTTCTGTGGGCTCTTTCTCGAATTCTCTGCATAGCCCACCAAGGCACAAGGGCACTCTTCTAGAGGAGAAGTGTCCAAAACCACAGTGCTCCTGGCAATCACAAAGGGCATGCACGGCACAGCAATTTTAGAAACAAGATTCCACCAGACTGACTTTTAAAACAAATAGACACATATTTGTAGGATTGGTTCAATCTGGCACAGGTTTAAACTCAACCTTTCCTCCCATATGTCACGCACACAAATGCACATCACCAGTTTTAAGACTGACAGCTTCCGTCCCATACCGAGTGTCTTGTTCTACTTGAAAGGCATTTCCCAGACTGAAATATTGAGACATATACAACTCATACAATGATGTTCAGGTTGCTAGATACTGACTAGTCAACCTATGGTCAGTAGCTGCTGGAGGATTAAAAACCAAATTGAAATGACCAGATTCCTGTATGCTCAACCTACAGCTGATATAGGACCTCTCTGCCCTCCTTTTTTTTTTTTCTGTTGTAACAAAACAGATCTTCTTAAATATATTTCACATATTGCAGTAGTCCAGACATCAAATGTTTCCCAGAGTGAAATTAAATATAGCATTTTATTTGGAGCAAGTCAGCCTAACTCAATTTTCCTTCCCAGCATTGCCACATAGAGACCTTCCATTTGGCAGCTGGGAGATGTGCTCAGCTCTGAGCTGGACTTAGAACTTCTTTCCACAGTCTTGACAATCCATCTGTTTCCTCTGCCCTTGTTCAAGAGCTTTAGAAGTCATAAAGGGGGCAGTTTGGCCCTCTGCCCTCAGGCCCTGTCTTTAGGGGAAAACATACCTCTCTTCCCAGCAGAGCCTCTCCAGGCTCCTCATGACCACAATACTGTACCACTGGAAACTTAACTTCCTAGAAAAAGCAAATGAATTTGCCATGAAGCAGTCTGCCCTTGTTGGAGGGAGTGGCTCCCATCTGGAATGTTGTTGCATGTCATTGTGCATTGTTGATGTTTACCCTAACACAACATCAGGAGAACCAAGCAGACTGGGAATCTCACAGTGGATAAACATTACTGCATACCAACTGAGGGCTGTGCATCAGGAACTGAAAGGTTATGGGGGAGCAAAGGCTGCCAGAACAGGTGGAGTGAGGGGAACCTCGAGAGCCAAAAACCAACATGCTCACATTACAGATGCAGCAACTAGACCCAGAAAGGACATAATGCTCCCAGGGTCACAGCACCAGGCGGCAGCCACAGTGATTTCCTAAATCTCTGGTGAAGGCTTTCCCACCCCCATCTGGGAAGTTTAGAGGAAGACAAGTACCAAGTAGATGCCTCTAACAAGTGTGTCATCAGTGGAGGCTTACAGTGATCCTTCCCTCTTCCCAGGGGCCTGAGAGAGTACTTGGCATCTCTTTAATTCCCGAAACAGCCCTCAAACAAGGAACTGTGGCTCACAATTAGGCCCAAGATCACCAAGATCCTGAATGTCACAACTGCAATGTGAATCCAGTCCATTTTCAACTCCAGACCTGACTGTGCTGTGTTGCCTCACTTAGCCCTCCTCCAAAACGGAGCCATCTCTAATAAGCGTGTGGTAAATCAGAGCAAGTCCAAATGAAAACACAAGTTGCAAAGCATCTATCAAGTAGCATCCAAAGTGTGTGTGTGTGTGTGTGTGTGCGCGCGCATGCACACAGGCCCATTTACACACATGTAGGAAAAAGAACACATCAAAGTACCAAGTGGTGATTTTAAAATTTTCTTCTTTATAAATTTCTGTTTTTCCAAAATATTAAACAGTTCTTATTTTTAAGAACTAATTTAACTTAATCTGAAATTAAATTTTTTAAACTGTGCTAAAATACACATAAAATTTAGCACCTTGACCATTTCTCTTTTTAATTTTTTTAATTTATTTATTTTGAGAGAGAGAAAGAGAGAGAGAGCAGGAGGGGCAGAGAGAGAGGGAGAGAGAGACAATCCCAAGCAGGCTCCGTACCATCAGCACAGAGCCTGATGTGGTGCTCGAATTCACAAACCATGAGATCATGACTTCAGTCAAAACCAAGAGTCAGATGCTTAACGGACTGAGCCACCCAGGTGCCCCCCGACACTTAACCATTCCCAAGTGTACAGTTCAGAACCATTAAAACATGTTCACATTACTATGCAACTGTCACTACCACCATCCATCTCTAGAAAACTTTTCATCTAGCAAAACAGAAACCCAATACCCATTAAACAATAACTGCCCAGTTTCCCTCCCCAGCCCCTGAAAACCACTGTTCTACTTCCTGTCTCTGTGAATTTGCTTCTCCTAGGTCCTCCACATAAGTATTTGTCCTTCTGTGTCTGGGCTTATTTCACCTCGTGTAATGTCTTCAAGGTCCATCCATGCTATAGCATGTCAGAATCTCCTTCTTTTGTATCGCAGGTGCACACCACATTTTGTTTATCCATTCAATTGTTCGTGGACACTTGGGTTGTTTCAACTTTTGACTATTGTGAATAACGCTGCCACAAAACATAGGCGTACAAATAGTTTTTTAGAAACACCCAAGCTTCTTAAAATCCTGAAGTATTTTTTTCGGAATGTGCCACTGTCCATAAAAATCAGGATATGTCTTCTGTGGGTCCTAGCCTGGGAAATGGAGCAAATTCTATGCTGGGGTCTGCACGTTTTGCCTTCTGTCTTTAAACACTTTTAAACCAATGGTTTTCAACCCTGACTGTACATTAGAATCACCTGGGGGTGCTTTTTAAAAATACTGATGCCCAGGAGCACCTGGGTGGCTCAGTCAGTTAAGCGTCTGACTTCAGTTCAGGTCATGATCTCGAAATGGTTCGTGGGTTCAAGCCCTGCATCAGGCTCAGTGCTGACAGCCTGGAGCCTGCTTCAGATTTTGTGTCTCCCTCTCTCTGCCCCTCCCTGCTCATGCTCTCTTTCTCTTTCAAAAATATATAAACTTTAAAAAAAGACTTTATAAAAATACTGATGTCCAGGCCCAACTGAAGACATCTGAATCCCAATCTCTGAGTTGAGGAAGACAAATTAGATTTTTTTAAGCTTTCCCTCTCCCCTATTATTCTGCAGGGGTGAGAATCACTGCTATTAACTCTCTTCTCTCTTCTTTGGGGGCCCCTTCTCTTTATTTACAAAATGTCTACCCTGTAAATAACACCTTTTCTCCCATCAAAAGTAAAAAGGGTTTACTGGCTAGTCAACTACCCTAGGTGTTTGCCTGATTATGTCTGAATGAGAAATGCTCACTGCAGAGCACTGCCTCCTCCAGTGCAAACCTTTTATCTCTAATTGTGCAATAAGAACCTGCCTCTTTCTTGGCAGGAATGTTAATATGAGTAAGCAGGTAAGAAGGTATTTCTGGGCCTACTCAGTCCTTAAGGAAATTATAATCTAGTCCTTTTAAGGCAGCAAGGGCAGGGAGAGAGAGAGAGAGAGAGAGAGAGAGAGAGAGAGAGAGAGAGAGACCTCCACTCTCCAGGCTTGGAAGGAGGCTGCAGAGGAGGCTGGCTCCCTGGACTCACTGCAGGAGACAGAGGACCTGGGTCATGCTCACATTCCTCTGACCCTAAAACACCCCCAGGTCCCGGCCTCCCCCATTCTCACCCAGGACTCCCAGGTACTTCCTTTGGTGTGTCCTGAGGACAGTGTGGCTTTGTCCAGTTCTATATTTGATCATTTCCCCTCTGTAACCAGCACTCCAGAATGCATCTCTCTGCTGCTGTGCTCTCTGATCTCCGAGTTCTTGACAACAGAGGGTGTCGCTAAAAGGGGAGCATCGTGACTTCATCAACAAGTTGAGTTCTAAACATCTCTGTCAGAAGCTTCACAAGCAAAGGTGGACATGCAAGTGGCCGCAGCAGGACATACTCTGGGACAGTCTCTCTCTCCGCTCTCTCCCACAGGGCTCTCCTCTCTCAGTAGGCAGACCTGGGACTCTAAGGCCCTTCACCTTACCTTGGGGCTCCTCTGCCGTTTTGGGGAGAGCCCTCCAAACAGGATATTGGAAGACATCCATGCTACAGTCACAGCAGCAGCTTCACGTTCCCAAGGACTAGTTCTCCATCCACATGAAATGTTAATGTAACAGAATGCCAAGCTGTGCTGGAGGCCAGGACCCACAGCAGGAGTTCAAAGGAGAGGAGAGAGGGTGAGCTGAAGGAGTCCAGGGAGCTGCAGAGAGTCCACAGAATGTGGGGTAGCCCCAGTGGAGGGAGAGGGGAATGGACATGATGTAGCCAGGCCTAGAAAGCAGGAAGAGGGCACTCTACCCAGGGGACAGGACCTGCTTGGGTGTGGCCGGGGTGAGCAAGCCCAGCTCTGAACTTGTCTGTGCCCTCTCAGCGATGCCAGTCCCACAAAGTCATGACCAATAAGGTTAGCAGAGAACTCAGCACCACGATAGATGACCAGAACCTATCCTAAGAAGTGAGCAAGCTCACAGAAAGGAAGGGAGAGGCAGTGTGAGGGGTAAGGAAAATGAAGGCTGAAGCCCTGAATAATACAACAGGACACCTCCAAATAGCAGATGAACGCTGAAGCCAGGGACCTCAGACAGGCATGTCTCTGACATATCTCTGACCAGTGAACCCAAAATACACAGCCACATGTGGATCTGGCTATCTTGTGCAGCCAGTCCTTGCGGAGCACGTACTAAGCATCAGCACTTACACACTCCCAAGTTGCCTCCAGGTTTTCATGCCCCCTTCCTCCTGACTTCCCATTCACAAGGTGCTTAAGCCCAGACCCAGAGGACACCCCACTGCAACATCAGAAGGAGAGAGGAAGGGAGACACTTAACATTATTTTGATCACCTCTTCAGTATCTCTTTTAGGCAGGGGTGAGACAGTTCTGCACAATTTACAGGTAAAGAAACAGAAGCACAGAAGAGAAGAGATGGAGTTCAAATGAACCTCATGCATCAATAAATTATGTTTGCCAATCAGAAGTGTCTGCCTATGGATTATGGCCGGGCCTGCAGGAGGAGGAAAGGCAGGTGGGCAGGAGGACTATTCAGCAATGCCATCACTAAATTAAAGTACACTGGTCACGGGGCACCTGGGTGGCTCAGTCGGTTAAGCGTCCAACTTTGGCTCAGGTCATGATCTCACAGCTCCTGAGTTCGAGCCTTGTGTCAGGCTCTGTGCTGACAGCTCAGAGCCTGGAGCCTGCTTCGGATTCTGTGTCTCCCTCTCTCTCTGTGTCTCCCTCTCTCTCTCCCTCTCTCTCTGTGGGTTCACTCATATTCTGTCTTGGTCTCTCTCAAAAATAAATAAAAACATTAAAAACAAAAAAAGTACACTGGTCACTCTGAGGAAGCTAGCTTCTGTGGCCCAGGCCTGTGGCTGAGATCCATTTTTGAGCATATTTACATAAGAAAAGGAGAACAGTGTGACAGAAAGGGCACAGGGATGTGGACGCAGACAGACTCAGGCTCATTTTTAGCTCTGCAACTTTGGATTTCAGCTTTACACAGGTTAAAAAATGGCTAAGGGATTAAAAAGAATCCTGGTATTATTATCCTGGTGATACTCAATAATAGAAAACTGTTTCTATTAACTTATTGCTGGTGTTTAGGCTTTCTTAAGTTTTCATCACAATTATTCACAAATTTATTGACCTAGAATAAAACCCAATAAAATTTTTGAGTTGTCTGTTGAAAATGATTGAGGCCACTTCTCATTAATTGTGTACTGATAAGGAGCAATTTCCCAGGTACAGTTAGGTGGGAAAAAAAAGCAATGCAGGACAGAATGTATAAGTGTTCACATCAGGGGCGAATGAGAAAACAATATATGTGTATATGTTCTCTGATGTGTAGGTCTCCTACCAGGACAGGCCCTGGAGGTGAGGAGCAAAGAAGAAGAGAGACTTTTCACAGTATACCCTTTCATGTATTCTTTATTTTGTACTATGTGAATCTGCTATTTTTTTAAAAAATACATAGAATAATTTACTTACAAGAAGTTTGGGGGAAAAATAAAGCTGTGCAAGGAGCTGAAAACTTTGGATGAGCTAGAGGGAGTACATGAGTGGTGATGTGCTTCATAGCTCAATGGAGAGACAGTTGTCAAGGACCCTGTGTCCTGAGAACAGTCTGGGGCCATGGGGAGGGGTCTCCAAGCATCCTGATTCCATCGCTTATTACAGAGCCTTGCAGTGCCAACCTCAAGATAAGCCATACAAAACAACTAAGAGCCACCTCCCTGGAGATGACACTGGTGAAAGTTCGTAACTCTCTGGTTCACATAGCACCTTCTATCCAAGGAGTGCAAAGTGCTCATGCACATTCACGAGGCCCCAAGGCCACCCTTAGGAGAAGGGAGCAGCTCTCCACAGCTGTGAGGACTGCGACCCTGAGGGGCATGGAGGGTAAGCCCCTCCAAGCTCAGTGGCCCAAGCCTCCCAACTGAAGTCTCTCACTTCCAGTCACCCCAAGGCAGCTGTTCCACCTCTCCATGCCTCAGTTTCCTTCTTTGCAATCTGAGAATATGAACAGTACTTATTTCACAAGATTGGTGTGTGGAGTAAATAATGCCCAGACACAGTAATAACTAATATTGATTGAACCATTATTTTATGCCAGACACTGCGTTAAGCAATTTGACCCATATTTACCTGATTACTCTCCTTAATTTATGAGTGGGAGAACTGAGGCACAGAGAGGTTCTGGAAGCCACATACATGATAGGACTGGTGAGGGGAACCCAGAACACTTCACATGCATCACTGCTCAGCAGACTAACATGGAGGACTGTCAAGGTTTCAGATGGGCACAGCCTAGAGATGGAAAAACTGAGGCACGAAGAGGCTGCTGGCTCTGCTGCTCTCCCTCACATATGATTGCAAGGCCATAGATGGCAACCTCTATCAACAGATATCAGGGAAACCAAGACAACACTGTATGGTGGCATTACTGCTTCTCAGTCTGAGGGCAGGGGGATGCGGGCTATCACTCACAGATGTAAGCCCTAGGTTCCCTCTGAGACCTGCAACCACCTCCCCCCTCTTCAGGACCCAGGATTCAGAGCCTTGCTGACCAAGTGCAGAGAAGGTGCCAGAAAACCTGCATAAAAATCCCGAGGTGCCTGGAACATGAGAAAACTGGTTATTGTTCAAAAGCTCATGGCTGCCAGTGAAACATGTCAAGAGGGGGTGGCCCAGGCGGGGGAGGGGCAGTGTGTGAAGCCAGCAGGCCCATCTGTAAACACAGAATACGTTAGGAATGTGTAAGCAAAACCAGAAATCCCTCGGCAGCTGCCTCCATTCCTCTCCTTCACGGACAGGGCCTGGGAGGCCTTCGGAAGAGAAGGGAGTCTAGCGTTTAGCCTCCGATGGCCAGAAAGATAGCTCCACAGACTGTCTGTCACAGAGCACTGGGTAAAACAGACACACAGAGAGCTTCACTCATTAACATTGGTGTTGCCATGACAATAAGCTGTTGCCAGGTAGCAGCGAACTAGGAGAAGAGTGAGAATTAGCAAAGCCTAAAAATAAAGCCGTTATGTTTCTTCCCCCGTCTAGATGTCCATGTGTAACAGGCAATAATCTCGCCTCCGCCTCAGCCCAGCCCTTCTCCCCAGCCAGCCCCCACTGCTGCTCCCAGCCCAGCACCAAGGGCAAGGAGCTCCCCTCTGAGGCAGCAGGAGAGGGCCTCCTAAAAACAGGTGAGGGCTAAAACCTGAAGGCTGGCTAACAAGCGGCACCGGAGAGAGTGCAGCAGTGTAAAAGCCAGGAGGCATTTTCCCCACTTAGGTGGTCAGCCTTGACTCCAGACTGAAGCTGGGCCCACTCCAGGCTGTCAGATACTTATCCCACTCCTTGGCTCAGAAGGAACAGGAAGAGGCAGGTGCCCTGTCCTAACTGACCACTTTTCTCTTGGAAACTACTTAGCCAAGCCTCAGCCCCAGAGGCGACTGTGGAAGTCAGGAGCCTGGGCTGGGCAGCATGAGTGGTTCACAGTTTCCTTTAGAACTGTGATACCACCAGAAGAGCCATCATGATACTAATTCCAAAAGGTAAAAGAGCATAATGATAAAAATCATTGAGCAATTTATAAACATCTCCAAGGGACAGGCAGTGAAATTATTTTCAGGGTCTTCCAGGCTGACTCTGATATCAGAAGAGAAAATGCACATGTCCAGTGGTTATCTGTTTCCTTTGTTCATTTCTCCCATCAGACCCTAAGCTGCACAAAGGCAGAAATCACATCTAACCACTCACCCTCATAACCTTAGCACCTGCGGTTGTCCCAGACACACAGCCAGCACACAACAGACACACCAGGGG